TGTGCATCTGAGATTGCATGTGAGTCTGCGAACATTCCATTTTGCCTCTGTTGGCCATTGCCTCCTCAAGGGAGGGACTTAGAGACCAAACCTGAAGGCTGCGCCACTTCGAGTGGAAAACATTTCGGCTGCCGACTTCGTGCGCGGTGGCTTCCAGGCTGTGATTGGGCAGTGCTGGGAATTTCTTGAAGCATAGTATTTGGTGCATGCCGTGGCATGCACCCACGAGGAAACCGTGGTCTCCTCTCCCAAAGCAAAGCAAACCGTGGTCTGCTTGCTTTGCATGCTTGCCAGCAGATGCAAACAAACCTTGGTCTGCCTGCATTCTGCCGGCCAGCACGGTTGCCGAAAAGCAACCCCTGCATCACTGACTAAGCAAACCGTAGTCTGCTAGCCAGCTCTGCAGGAGACCGTGGTCTCCTCTCACAGACAGATGGCAAACCGTGGTCCACCACAATTATAAGGAGACCGTAGTCTCCCGGCTTTGTCCAGGAAACCGCAGTCTCCCGGGCTGCCTATAGTCTATAGTTACATATCTATATCTGTATATATGTTTCGTTTGAAAGAAACTTAAAAGGATCCCTTGCCTGGCCTCGTAAAAAAGGCCAGCCCCCATCCAAGGGCTCCCTACAGGAGCCCAAACAGCTGCAAACACCGGCACAAACTTCACAACCTGCACATGCGAGGCTACAAGTCAAACAACTGCATGCACATGAGACAACAAGGCTTTGCATGGTTTTCCTGAAGCAAACGAACCTTCAGTTCACTAGCACCCCAGGCTTCCTCCGTTTGGAGGACTGCCCCTGGCTTTTTGCTGCCCTTTTGGCAGCCGCAGTCGCCTCAGCCTCCTGCAGCGGCAGGGGATCCAAGGGCCGGGCCTTGGCCCCGGCTGTTTTGACAAGCGAATACCTTCTGTCGTCGCCTGTCCGTTGAGCCTGGCGGCCTTGGCCGATTTTCACGACTTTGTCCTTCGCAGCAGTTCCCTTAGGAAAGCTTTGCCGTGCTCTAGTCTGAAAAGACTCAGCAGTAAGCACGGCATTTTGTGTTGCTTCAAAGAACAGTGCCATATCATCCAAGTGGACTTTGGGCACATCCGTGACATGGCCCGCCTCCAGGACACGGATCTCCTTTCCCATCCAGGTAACCTTGAGCACATTCTTTTCTGCTCTTGCTTCCCTGGAAGCACGGCGGGACAAGCGAGTCTTCGCTGCTTTTCTCGGAGAGCTGCCTGTTACAGACACTAGAGCAGCCTCGCTGTCTTCCCCGCCGAAAAGGCCAGAGCTCTGTTCTTTCAGTTTCTCTGCCTGCCGCTTGGATTGCTGCTCCTTGGAGGCATCGTTTCGGGAGCCCAGGAGCGATAGATAAACATCGCTCTGGGACAACGATGACTTTGCCGGGTATTTTGGCAGTTTTATGCTATGCTGCTTAGAAAGCAGCTTGCACAAGCCCGGGCTCCATGGACGAAGTACCACAAACGGACCATGGTCCGTTGGTTCTAGCTCCTTGTCACCCACAGTCCAGCTGGCACCATCCAGCTTCAGGACATATACTCTTTCGATTACCAGCGGCATTGTGCCTATATTAGCCTTGAGCCGAACTTTATGGAAAGATCAACAACACGTGCCTGCAAACCATCCTTGAATTCACACTTGCAAAAGCGCCAAAAAGTTCCATTGCAGACATGAAGTGACGCTCCTTCGTAGCCGCATCTTTCCAGGACTGGACTAGCGCGTCGGCGAAGCCTATCCCCTTAAGGACCATTTGCTTGTAGGTCTGCTTCCTGATAGCATTCTCATAGGATAGCACCAAGGTCCAGGGCGGAGCCAGGGAGCCGCTAGCATCGTTGGAACGTAGCCCGTAGCAAAAGTCGCCCAGCAAGTAGTCTTTGTATTTCTCGAAGAGCTGGAAGTCGATATCCTTGAGCTCGGATCGCCCCGGGTGCTGCAAGCCTATCATCAGAAGGGCGTTCTGCATCACAGTTAGCCGGAGCCTCAGCTGCTCTGGGCCTGATGGCATCGCCCCTCTCGAGGTAGCCTTCTTGAGCATCAGGGCGGTGCCTTTGCTATCCCATTGGGGAACCAGCACACCCGGATCAATCTCGTCTCTGGATAGCACCTCGTTCAAGGGTTCTGCCCTGAACTCGCCCGTTTCTAGCTCGTGTAGCTTTCGCTCAATGTATTCCTTTGCAGGAATGTGCTTATCCTCGGGCTCGCCAAATTTTTGCGCAAAGGCTTGGCGCATAGCCATGTACTCTGTTTGTGGGATGGGTTTCGCCCACTCCCGGACTTCGCTAGCCGCTTCTCTATCCGCTTGCTCGCGGGTACGAGCCTGGGCTGCTCTCCAGGCCACCACGAAGGCGGCCGCTAGCGCCCTGTTCACCAACGAACTTTCCGGCTCTATCGAGAAGTCTTTCGCTAGCACCGATTTCAGATCGGCTTCGTCCTTGAAACTCGCCGAGAATTTTGCGATCGTGTCTATCCCGGCCTTGAACAAGGTGGCCTGGGAAGTATCCGGGACCCTATTCTGGGTCAGGAGATAGCGAAAATCCGTGGATCCCTTTGCTAGCTCGACTGGATCAGGAACCGAAGCCATGACGGTGCCTAGCTCGTGCGGAGCTAGCCGGCTGTCAAGCTAGGGTCGTCTCTTGAAATTGAAAGCTCTAGCATCCGTGGGTACAGCTTAGCCCCCCCACACCAGAGAGTTGGGAAAGAGGGAGGACCCACCACGGAAAGACCCGGAGACGTCCCCCCCTCCCCTAGCCAGAGAGTCGGGAAAGGCGGAGAACCACCAGACAGGACCCGGAGCATCCCCCCCCCCCGACCAGCCCGCGTGAAAACTCGCCGTCTCAAGAAAATATAGCCGGTCACTCTCTTCTTTCTGGCTGCCGAAGCAAACACTAGCCGACATGTGCAAGACCGAGACGCTCGCCTTCGTTTTCCTTCTAGCCGTGTGTCAGGGATCTTCTAGCCATGCTTCCGTGCTAGTCCGGGCCTTTTCGGCCCCTGCCCTCTCCTTTAGCCGTTCTAGCCGGAGGCCGGCAGTCGTTGCACGTATGGCCCTTATCCCCGTGCGTATCCAGGCAATACCACATTCTTTTGTTGCATTGCTCTATCCCGCACTGGTCACAGACCACTATACATCTAAAGATAGCCCCGCCGGGTTCCCAGCGACCCACGCCAGGCGTAACCCCGTTGGGCCGGCATCTTATCCATCCCTGCTCGGGGATTCTATCCACCAGCTGCAGGGCACTATCCGACTTGTTGCTAACCGCGATGTAGTCGTTATCGGTCAGCTGGTATCGCCAGGGTGGGTCATGTATCCCACCTTTGCGGACTCGGCGCCCTCTATCCCCTAGGTGCGAGAGAGCTCTATCCCGACGGTCGCCCTTCTCGTAGCTGTTGAGGGGCCAATTAGCCTTCGCATTGTATATCCAGGTCTGGTCGACCATGCCGCCGCCCGGGCCCCATGGTCGCCCTTTGGCTTGGCTAGCCGTCGGCGGAGGGGCCATTAGCCGATGCACGACCTCTGGCTCTTCGCGGATTAGCCGGGCGGTCGGCCATCCAGGTTGATGTTAGCCGCTGCTCCTTGCTGGAGGGCCGCCCTCTCGGGTGCTATCCGGCCGTCTTCGGCCATAGCCTCCCATTGGGCCTCATTGTCGCGGCCTGCGCCTAGCCGCCTATCCACCGGGCCTCCGGCCTCGCCCCTTGGAGCCACTCTTGGCTTGTGGGCGGATAGCCGGAAAGGGATCATAGCCCGGCTCGCCCGGGCCCGGAGGCCGGCGCCGAGGCCTATCCTCTGTACTCTCCGGCTCGTTCGGGTCTAGCTCCTGGAAGGTCCCTATCCGGTAGATCTGCTCCATCCTAGCCACGTAGGCTGGGACATCGCCCGGGGGCCCCCGGTAGCCTCGCATGCATCTAGCCAGGAAGTCCTTCATGTTCTCGCCGGGCCTCTCCGCACTATCCGCTGCTGCTGCCCTAGCCTGTGCAAGGCCCGGGCCTGGCCCCTGCGCAGTAGCCGCGCTCTCGGTAGCCTGGGCCCTCTGCTCGTTTCTAGCCTGGGTCTGCTGTATCGTGGGCGGATCCCTAGCCGGCTTGGCTGGCCTGCCAAAGGCCTCGCCTGGCGTGGGATCCCTCGCCGGCTGTCTAGCCCCTGTGCTGGCCTCCTCTGACTGCCTAGCTGCAGGGGTCTAGCAGTCAGGGGAGGCCTTGCCCATTTTGGGTAATTGCACCACCGTGGCCCAGATCATAGCCATAACATCCTAAAACACTTTATCATATAGAAAATAAGGTGCAATTATCCAAAATGGACAAGGTAATGGGGTCGCCCGTTTTGGGGTATTACATCACCGTGGCCATATAATCACAACTAGTAGCTCATTATCCTTAAAATACTCTATCTCATCCTATTTATCAGGTGATGTAACATCCGAAACTGGGCAAGGTTAGGTTTATTCAATTTATGGGGCATAGTATGGTAGTTGGTTGTTCGTTCCAAAATGCCGGGGCTGATAGGGCTTGTGGGCGAATGCAGTTGGAATGTCTTTGTCGCATGATGTTTTCAGAAAGTGTTGGACACAGGCTTTGTTGACATTCACCTCTTTCCAAGGGGGTTGCCACGTTTAAGAAGTTGGGGTATTATCTTCTAATCCCAACGCACGGAGAACTTCTCATGTTTTTGTGCATCTCCTGCCCTGCAGCGATGGCCATGCGACGCCGCAAAGGAAGTTTGCCATTGTTTTGCGTGATTTGTGCAGCAGCTTGTTTCTGCTTGGCGCCGACAGACTTCATCCTGTTGCCACAGGCCGGGGAGTTTCAGAAGCTTTGTGTGTGTGTGTGCTTGCTTGTAGCCGCCTTTTCCGCAAAAGGCATCCACAGTCAGTGGCACAGCGAATCACGGTGGAGGAAACCAGTTCATTGGACGCAGTGCTGCCGCTTTGATGGAATCATGATTCTTAGAGCTGCTTGTTCAAAATTCTTGTCAAAACAGTGGCGAGCAAGGCAATGCCAGTGAGTTGCGGGAGGCGGCTCAGCGCGCCACCGACCCAACTGAAAGCGTTGCCGCAGCTTCGAGCTGTGATACAATGGGCAATGCATGCTCAGTCCAACAAGACAGTTGACATTCGCGACATACGAGACTTTTCCCTGGCTCTTGCAGGCTTTGTGGTGTCTGCTGCAGGCTTTGTGGTCTCGTACGCCTCCTCGGACTTTCGCATGAAGCGTTTGGCCGTAAAGAAGTTCATGGCGCTCTATCGGCCGCCAAGGCCGAAGAGCAAAGTTGTTCACCGCGAGACCATGACAGCCATCAAGAACCGCGTTCAGAACTGGAAGCAGGAGGAGCATGCGACCATCGTGAGTGGCCGCTACAAATGCGGGAAGACAGTGGCCGTGCAAGAGGCCTTGCGCGATGTGCGCGGGGTGTGGGGCTTCACGATCGAGGTGGAAGATTGGAAGCCCGTCCTGTACCAAGAGCTTGGCGTGAAGGACTCCAACATGTTTCGTGAGGTGCTTCGTTGTGTCCGCACCAAGTTGCAGAAGAAGAAGTATGCAAACAACCTGACTCAATATCCCATCCTGCTTCTGGACATTCCTCGAAGCGCCAAAGGAGGCCTGTGTGCACTTGTTGACTGGGAGGCAGTGTTTGCGAGCAGCTCCCCTGAGGTATGGACTTGGTCTCCACCGCGGCGAAGGACATGTCGAGTGATTCGAGCTACAATGCACCGGCACATGTCCCTGCGCATTATAGTCAGTCCATGGAAGCAAGTCTGTTTCCTTGTTGATTCCCGCTTATCCTTGTCTTAGTGCATGTGAGGCTGTGGTGGTCGCCTCGTCTGCTGCCTCGGCTCAGGCGTTTGATGCCGGCGGCCGCAGATTCGACATCTGGGTGGGCGACATGACCCAGGGAGAGGCGACAGAGATGCTCGAGAAGCACGATCACAAGTCGGACGCGGCAGAAATCATTAACAAGTGTGCTTTGGCATGGAATGCTTCAGGCTTCTGTCACGCTGTTTTTTCCATGCATCGCTTTGTTGGGTAAGCGTAGCCTTCCAATCAGGCGGCCTCCGCGCTGGTGATTTGGTGGATGCATGCAATGATCTGAAGTGCCTTCTCTGAACACATTGTGGTTGTGCAGTCATGTTTCTTACTTTCGCTTTGGACTCGCTTTCGATTTCATCCAAACTCTGAGGAAGGGAGATAGTCTGAGCGACATCCAGACGCGTTTCCAAGAGATGGCCGTCAAGGACGTGGTGAACTTCATGAGTCTCACGCTTGATGGAAAGCCGGTCGGCCGGCAGATTTTGAAGGCGCTGCTTCAAAGCTCAGGCGCAGGCATTAGGGCAGTCATTAATACTACTGCGTATGAGCCGAGCGAGATTGCGAAGCTCATTCGCGATAAGAAAGCACATGCCATCATATGGCATCCTACAGATATGCTCTACAAGTTTGCTTCGAGCTTGCACGCGAAAATCGCCAAAGACAAGATGGCCCTGATTGACATGCCTGGTGAAAAAGATGTCCTGAGCTTGCTTTCGTATTGTGCTGCCTCATGGTGCACTGATGTGTTATTTGATGTACAATTACGTGTTCCTTTTTGTTTCGTATTTCCCTTGGAATATTTTGTATTCTCCTTGGAATACATTTATGTTGCCACAGGAATGTATTCTCAGGTGCACTTTGCACCAAAACAGTTCAAAATAGAATGCAGTATATAAGAGTTATATAAAGTCCGCACGCCGCACGTGCAAACCCCACACGCTGCACGTACAAGCCCCGCACGCCGCACGTGCAAACCCCGCACGCCGCACGTACAAACCCCGCACGCCGCACGTACAAACCCCGCACGCCGCACGTACAAGCCCCGCACGCCGCACGTGCAAACCCCGCACGCCGCACGTGCAGAGCCAGCGTATCTGATGATTAGAATACAAAAAGCCAAATAATCTTCATATTTTTATAGCAATTGCTTAGTATTTTACTCCAGTAAATAAGAGTTAGATATTTATAATCAAAACCAAAATACGAAAAGTAAGGTACTGAAGATTTAGGGGTATGAAAAGATACAAAACACAAATAACATGAATATTATAATAGTATTTGCATAGTATTTTTACTCTAGTGAACCAAAAATGCTGTTTACAATCAAAAACCAACATAAAAAATCGAAGGTACTGAAAATTTAGGGTTCGCGTATGCTACGCGAAGGCTTTCGCGTTCAGGGAATACAAAACACGAGTAACATGAATATTTTAATAGTATTTGCTTAGTATTTTTATATGAATATATTAAGTTGCTGTTTCTTTAAGTGTGTTTTCTTAAGAAACCTTTAACAACTCATGTCGCAAGTATGACCTATTCTCATCGTCCAAATGATAATATTTTTGTCCTAGTTTCTTCTCAATCTTAGTGACTTTATGGATTGTTTTATTCCAGTGTGATGTATGTTCTTTCTCGCTTATACCTTTCTTTCTCATTATCTTGACGTTGTCGCCTTCGTCTATCTCTGGGTATGTTCTGCTACGCTTAGCGTTTATGCTTAAAATCAGTTTTACTTTCAGTTCATTTTTTGGTAAACGTGCATCCTTTGGAGTCAGATTATGGGATGAATGTATATCTTTATTATTGTATGTCAACAGTATTTCAAAGTTATAATCAGTCCATTGAATATTTTCTTTACCCTTTTTCTTATCTGCTTCAACGCGCTTAAATAACTTATCTTTGTAGGTTTTAATGAAGCGTTCTGCAAACGCTGGATGTCCACGAGTTCTATGAATCTCAATTTTTTCGTCCTCCAGATGCTCCATTATGGGTTTACTGTATAAACTACCTTCCTCATCTGAATATAACATGCGTGGTTTCTTATCCATTTTGTTTAATCCTTCCATGAGACCTGCTAAAACATCTGGTGGCTGTTTGCTCTTAATTGGTATAACAGTTGCATATTTAGTGAATATGTCAATAAGCACTAAACCTATTCTAAACTTTTGGTTTTCTAAGTCGTTGCTAGATATGAAAAACAAATCAAGTTGAAACTCAAAGAAACTATGTGGAGCTACAAAACTATTTTGACCTCTTGGTTTCCTTTTCTCTTCAATGTTGCTTTTAAAGAACTTTTCAACATCCAGTTTCGTTATAGTGGCATCCTTCTTTTTAGCATCTTGTAGAGTTGTAGCTTTACTCCCAAACCCCGAGCGGTCATAATAAACACTACTTATAATATCTTGTTTAGATGTCATTATACTAAGCAAGATATTATTATTTTTATTCTGATTGTTCGGTTTGTTGTTCACTTAACCAGTTTAGATGTGCCTTTGTGTTGCGATGTTTATAAATGCCGTCTTTTCTACAAATAACACCGCATTCACATTCAACTTTCTCCGATGCCTTCTGTCTTATCTGTTCTTTGTGAGTTTCATTATACAACTTGTGTCTTTGTTGTTCCTTTTCCTTGTTGTTCTCCCTGTATTTCTTGCCACTCACTTTTAGTTTTTCAGGATTGTCTTGTTGCCATTGCTTCGTTCTTTCCTGTTGCTTCTGTGGGTTGTTTTGATAGCACTTTTTTTTAGCTTCCTTTACCTGTTCTGGATGTTTTTCCCTATACATTTTTGAGTATTCCGCTCGTGTTCTACCCACCACAAGTTTATTTACACAGTCCATCTTTTGGATATGTTGCCCTTCTCGTGCTTCAAGTTCTTTTCTGCTATTACAAGGATAATCCTCTATCCACTCAATCTTACAGTTTTCCACCCCAAACTCATCAAACAAATCAAACGAGCGCATCCGCCCTGATGTCCCGTTTAGGTTGGATTTATAACACACTCTATGCCTCGCCATTCTCTGGCTCAGCTCTTCGCAAGTAGAACCTATATAACATTTTTTATATCCTACATCAACTATTTTGTAAATCTTACCATTCTGATACCTGTTCATATCCTTATATATCCTAAACTATCATGTCTTTAAAACTTTTAAGAAAAATAATAATATTTTTTACAAATATTATTATTTCTCTTCTTCTGGCTCTTCCTCAGGAATCACTGTTATCACCTTGCAGTTTTTCATCGTGTATTTAGTTCCTTTCTTTTTACTTGCTAGTGCTTCTGCCTTCTGTTCTGGTGTCAACTTCACGACTGTTATATCTATACCATTTTCGGCTATGTACTTTTCCATCTTTTTTTTCTCCACATACTTATCTCTTGAAGCCCTTTTCTTATCTAAATACTCTTTGTCTTCACGCCTTTTATTATAATATAGCCTATTGTACAATGCCAGTTGTTCACGGATTTCCTCTATTGTCATATCTTCAGGTTTTGTCATTTACTATTAATGTATATAAATAATATTTCTTTAAGTGCTTTTTCTTAACACTATAATCTTATTTGATTTTCAATCAGTCTACTAAAAAAGTCTTCAGAAAAATACATTTAAAGAAATATTTTTATTATAAAATTAATATATATTGTAATTTATGACCAAAGCTATACAGAGAAATATCACTGCTTTAGAAGCAGTGTACGACAATTACAAAAAACGCTTTAACAAAGCAACCAAGGAAAAAGTCAGAAACATCATAGACTTATATTCTGAACGCAAGATAGCTCAGTTTACAACAGCCGACAATTTAATAAGAAAATTTATCACATCCAAGACACCAAAGGACAAAGAAAAGGCAGACAAAGAATACGATAAGATTTATGACAAGCATAAGGATAAACCCAGTCTAGGCGAAAGAATGGAGGAATCAAAGCAAGAAAACAAGAGAACTGGAAGAACCAACCCTAGAAAAAAGCATGACTATTCAATGACAGTGGCGTTTTTTAGATACAAATCGGAATCCAACACACAGAAAACAGCATTTTATGACAAAGCAGGTAAGCCCTTAGTACCATTGATTACAGTAGAAGCTATAAGGCAAACAGCAAGCGTTAACACCACATCGTATGTTGAAAACCTTGTTGGTAGAAAAGTGTTTAGGAATTACGACAAGATGCTTTTCATAAAATTACTATTGGACTTACAGAAAGACCCGTATATAATGGGATACCTCGGTTTTTTGGTAAGTTATGTAGATTGTATTAGAGTATATGAAGTTGATAGGGTAGACGGTGATACAGATTTTAATCCAAAGCGCGAGAACCTTAGAGACGCCACTAATGTGAGCATGTATCATAATTATATTCAGACTCCTTTGAACCCAGAGTACGAGACACTAAAGGAAGCCATTAAAGTTGAACATTATCAAGACAACCTGTGCTGGATTAATGCTTTAACGGATTATTATAAAAATACCCTTATGGGCGACAAGAAGAGAGAGAAGAACAAACTAACCAGAGAAAACATTTTAAAACTCATAAATAAAACAGAAGATGATTTTACAACCAACGGGGCTAGCCTTGACGATATGACCAAGGTGTTTGAACATTTTAAGATTCAAGTTAGGGTATATGACGTTTTTAACAATCTGGTGTATCAGTACGACCCAGAGAAGCGAGACCATCACATACAAACACTGTATGCAATAATTAAGAACAACCACATTTACACGGTGAATGATAATTTAAGTTCGTTGAAGCAAATGTTACCGAAGAATTCCAATTATGACATTTATGTGAAGGCTTCGTCGGATTACCATTTAAATGAGAAGTCCACACCAGTTGAGTGTAAAATGATAGCATCTTTGGACGATATCAGAAAACACACAGAGGAAGACCAATATACCCTAATATATGACGGAAATGATTTAACGAAGTTGTTTTATGAATCCAAACAGGCAGGTTATGAACCACAGGTTAAGTTCAGTGGTTGCATCGTGTCTGAGTTGAATTTTAGGTTTTATATCAATAAAAGACTCATTAAGTACAAGGTCAAAACGCAGAACCTTGTAACAAATTCCATTGATGGTTCTATCTGTGTCAGGACAGAAAATATTTATAATAGAATGTCTAAAGCAATGTACGATTTCAACAAAGCACTGTTTAACCCCTTGCATAAATCTTATTACAACGAGGTAGACATGCAAATCTTCAAGGAGTGTAAAACCATAAACCCAGTAGGCGAGATAAATAAATATTATCAGAAATATTCTGTACAGCGTCAAGAATTTGATAAATACTTTTTTACAACAGAGTCCTGTGTAGAGATAGATGTCCGAAAGGCATTCACACACGCATTTAATCAGATGACCGAGATACCAGTGTTTACGCAATTTGATGTGTGGAAGCCCTACAAGAAGGAATATAAAATAGAATCATTTCACCCACTGACCTTATACTTAGTTAAGAGCAATGGTGAGGCAATGTTTTTCAACAAAACCTATTGCTTAGTATACGGACAGTTTTTAAAGCATTTACTTAAAAAATGCAAAATCTTATATTATAAAGAACCTTCTAGAGTTTATAATGTTGATTACAAGAAGATTGTTGATAAACTGTGGGCTACCGAGATATCTGACAGAGCACCAGAGGACATTAGAACCAAAAAGTTAATTGCGAATGTAAACTTCGGTTTACTGGAAAAGAGTACAAATATATCATCTAAAAGTTATACCTTTAATGGTTTACGGGAAGCACTATATTATCAAACACTTGCCGGAGGTAGAATAAATAAGTTATCTGTAGAAAAACCAGAATTAGTAGAAGATGATGAAGAAGAAGATGCATGGAAAACTGTATACACGGAATTAGAGGAGAAATATTACTGTCTGACTGTATCGGAT